TCAATGCAGTGTAGTATTCCATTGTGTGAATATACCACAGCGTCTCTATCCATTCGTTTGTTGATGGGCACTTAGGTTATTTCCAACTCCTTGCTATTGTGAACAAAGCCACAATAAACATGGGTGTGCATAGAGGCATCTTTGTTGTATAGTATTTTGTGAATTCTTTGATTTTTAGATTGTGTTAATGTGCCATAGTTTCTTTAGCCATTCATTTAGTGAAAAGCATTTGGGTTGTTTCTACCTCTTTGCTATTGTAAATAATAGTGCAATGAATATTAGTGTGCATACAGCTGCTCATGTAGCAGCTCTTAGTTCTTTGAGATATATATACCTACTTGTGGACCAAGTGGCATTTCTATTCCTAATTTCTAAAGGAAGTGCCAAACTGCTTCCCATAGTGTTTGTACCATTCTGTGTTTCTACTATAAGTGTTCCAGTCTCTCTACATTTATGCCAGAATTTGTTGTTCTTGTCTTATTGAACTTTACTACTGTTACTATGGTGAGATATTATCACATTGTTGTTTTAATTTGTATCTCTCTAGATATGAACAGATATGTCTTGGAAAAGGTACAGACAGAATGCTCTTTGGAGGCAAAGATGGCAAAGCTTCATCTCTCATACCTTTCTTAGACATTTTCCTAGAAGAGGCCATTCCTTGGAAAGGGATAGCATCCTTTGAAAGGTGGAGGATTAGCAAAAGAAATAAGACCTCCAATGAGATGTACTGACATGCTGACTGCAGCAGTGGGCTCCATATTATCACAGAGATGGTGAGGATGGCACAGGTTAGGACAAGACTGTTCTGCTCTTCATAGGATGACTATAAGTTGTATTTGACTCAACAACATGTAACAACAAGGAGATCTTTATCATTTTTTTGTGTAAGTTTTGATCATCTCATCTAAGTAGCTTCTTTGATGAAATGTCTTTTCATATCTTTTGCCCATTTTGTAAATGTATTATCTTTTTCATGAGGTGTTAGAATTTTCTATAAATTTTAGACATAACTTCTGTGTCAAATATGTCATAGCCAGATATTTTCCCCAATCTGTATGCTCTTTTTTCGCTCTTTTGGAGAAGACTTTGAATGCATAGAAAGATTTATTTTAGAAAATTCCAGTCATCTAATTTATTCTACACTGATTGTGTATTTTCTTTTATATTTTATTTATGCCATCAATTAAGGTTTATAAGTTTCTCCAGTTTTTTTTATAATGTTTATAATTTTTGTTTTTATAGCTAGGTCTTTGATCCATCTTGAGTTAGTTTTTGTATATGGTCTTGAAATAGGAGATTGTTTCAAATTTATGTAAGTAGCTATCCAGTTTTGCCAGCACCATTTGTTAAAGAGGAAGCTCTGATGGCTTAGTGGTAAAAAGGTTTATTGCATGCAGTTTGAATCCATAAACCACGTCATGGGAGAAAGAGATGCAATTTCGTTCCATGGGATGCCCTGCCTCTGAAAACCCACTTGAGAGGCAACTATGC